TCGGAATAAAAACGTTTCAAGTTACTGACGTGGACAACAAGGTTAGTCTGTATCCATAGGAGCAATTGGATCCTATATGATGTCTTCCTAATCTTGTTTATAACTTCGACTAGTCCATAGAATTTGCGCACCAGCCTTTGGTTCTTGTTGCTTTGAACTCAATGTTGATCTGACCTTAACTTATTATAATTCTCTATTTTCTTTGAAATTATCGTGGTCGACCCTTCTCTTCATTTGTATGGATGGTATTTTTGCGTGAACATGTGTTGCTTTAGTGGTTTGTTTTTGTCTCCCTTCTTCAGTAGAGGTGTTGACCCGACTTTGAACATGTCATTTTGCTATTTGTAGAATTAAACTAGCTCAAGCTGAGCCGCATGACATCTGTTTGTGGCAGGCGACATAAAACTAATCTTGTGATTTATCTCTCTTGGTGGAGTTAAACCCAATATCTGACCTTCTTGTTTTGGGTCGTGGTGTTCATGTAATGGAAATAAAGTTTTTGTTGAGGTTCGCACACTTGCACTTCCCCTTTTCAAATACAACAATGGCAGCATGTGTAGATTCTTTCTCAACTGTACTATCGTCATCATTTTCACCCCTCTTGGTTGATGGATGTTTGTCAGAATGATCATTGGGTTAGACTCTATAATACTAGGCATTTTTTAGGGGCATGTAAATGACTTTGTGTTCTAGCAGAATGTCAATCCCTGACTTTATGGGCTCTAGAATGTTAGATATGAAGGCTAACTATTTATAGTAAAAATCTGATAGAGATACATATACTAAATAATTATATATAGTAGGCGTTTACATATAGTGAAGCTATATATAATAAACTGAAATCATATGTATACCCATTAGTCAATTAGTCGGTGCTTCCTAAATGTACATTTCTCATTCTCCATATCCTCTATTTGCAACCCTGAAGTCATTAATACAAAACCATTTGAATATTTCTTCTAACATTTTCTCTATCATGTTTTTTTGTGTTTATTTAGATCAAGTGTGTGCGATGTTGTGTGATCCTAATAACTAGTATCAGAGCGAGGAGAGATTCACCACGATCTGTGAAGATGGAAAGTTCAAGAATTGAAAAGTTTGATGGATTTGATATCAGTTTCTAGAAGATGCAGATTGAAGATTATCTGTACGAGAAAGATATTCAGGAACCCCTTTTGGGGGTGAAGCCGGATACCATGACCATGGAGGAGTGGAAGCTCAAGAATTGTCATGCCGTAAGGTTAATGTGGTTGACGCTGTCCAGAAACATGACGTTCAATATCATCAAAGAGAAGACGACATCGGGCCTATTGAAGGTGTTGTCAAATATGTACGAAAATACGTTGGCTATGAACAAGATGTATTTGATGCAGAGGTTGTTCAATCTACAAATGTCGATTTGTTGCAGATCATATAAATTAGTTCAACATGATTGTAAGTCAATTGAGTTGGGTGAAAATTATGTTAAAAATAAGATTAAAGCATTGATTTTGATGTCATCTTTACTCGAGTCTTGGTATACAGTTGTTGCTGCAATCAACAGTTCGCGAGGATCTATAAACTGAAATTTAGTGAAATTTGAGATGTCAGCGAAAGCCCAAACGGGAAATTGGAGATTCATCAAGCAATGCTCTCATTGTTGATCGAAGGGGAAGAAGTAAATCAAAGAGCCCAAACAAACATGGGCGATCAAAATTAAGAAACTAGGAAAAATCTCCAAACCAACAAAACGTAAAGTGTTGAAATTGTGAAGAAAAATAACACTTTCGGACAGATAGTACAAAATTGAAGAAAAGAAAAATCACATATTTGACGATAACGATAATTCCATATATTCAGCAGAAGATACTGAGAATCCTTTAATCCTTAGCGTGAACAGCCCAATTGAATTTTGAATTTTAGATTCAGTTGTATCATCTCATTCGTCTCCAAGTAAGGAATTGTTTCAAAATTTCAAATAAGGAAATGTTAGGAAGGTGTATATTGCCAACAACAAAACGTTGGAGATTGAAAGGAAGAGAGATGTCTACATATAAACTCTAACAGGAAATGAGTGAGTGGACATTATAGGATGTTAGATATATTCCTGATCTCAAGAAGAATCTAATCGCTATTAGTTAGTTGGATAGCACAGGTTATGCAGCCGAGTTTGGAAAGAGTTTTGGGAAAATTGTGAAGGGTGTCATGGTGGTAGCATGACCTAAAATCTGGAACCCTATACACCAATGTAGAGTGTATAAACATGGTTGTTGTTACTAAGAGTGCTTCCAATTCAAGTAACAGCAACAACAACCATGTTTATACACCCTACAGTAGTGTCAATAGACTTGAACATATGAGCATCAAAGAAATGAAGATGATGGGTGCAAATAGAGTTTTGGAAGGCCTAAAATCTATTGATATGGGTGTTTGTAAGAGCTGCGTTATGGAAAAATATAAACGAGTTAGCTTCACAAAAATTGCCAGAGAACCAAAGAAAGTGCAATTGGAAATGGTCCATACAGACGTTTGGGGACCATCTCCAGTTTCTTCATTTCTAGTACCAAAATTTAATGGATTAGATGTCTCGCACTCTACAACGAAAACTCTCTGTTTTCCTAAGGCTAGTCATATATCTCATGACCACTCTTTTCCTCCTCACCATATCTAGACACTATAACGTTGATCCATTATGGTCTTATATAGTTAACATTCACTCTTTAACGTCCAAGGACATTTTATAACTACCACGAAAATCAAAACATACAATAAATTCATACAAGTTTTACAATATATCATATACTACAAAATAGGGTTAGACTACTTACTTGGTCACGGGGAGACGTGTCATCGAGCTGAGTCATAGAGATATACGACTCTTTATCTTAAGAAAAAATCTATATAATTTAAAATCCGGCTGCTCTGATACCAATCTGTCACAACCCAAATTTCAAGGGTTCAAAACTCAAATAGAAACTAAAATTGAAAGTGAAAACAAATAAAAATAAAAGTAAATTAACATAAAATAATGCTGTAAAATTAAAATAAGATTGAGAAAACAACACCACATTAAATATAAAATAAAATAAAATTATAAGACGGTGCTGTTCAAATTTATCCAAACAAAAAAAAAGTGTTTGGGATAGAATTACAAAAAAAAAAAAAAGTACAAAAAAACTCAAACACAAAGACAAACTAACACTGCATAACAACCCCATCTGTGAGTGCACTATCTTTGAAGGCTCCCTCATACGAGCCCATCCAAAATAATCACACCTGTGACCGCATCTCTTGACTTTAAAGTGCTAGTCTAAACATGGTTTCGTCACCAAAGCTTTAGAGTTTAATCTATCTTTACAAAAATATTTTTCTCTTAATTTATAATTAGTCATAAAAAGAAATAATTAGATACAAATTTGGTCTAGAATTCAAAACTTACAAATCTTACTATTTCTTAACCAGATTTTAAATCCAGATTCTTGAACTCCTGGTACTTAAATAAAGTTGGTCTCCTCTAATAAAATAAGAACTTCTCTTAAGATCATTAATACAATTATGCTTTATCGTAAACACACCAAACATGAAACTAAAGTGCGTTAAATTTAACTTCATTTTATTGTCATCTTGACTGATGTTTAGGGTATATTCTTGATTTTCTTTAAAGTTCTTGTGACATGACAGTTCATATTAGTTAAACTTTCTGCAAAATCACAAGTTAAAAAACAACAACGATGAACCTAGGTCTATTAGTCATTTCAAAGACAATTTCTTTGTCCATCTTATTGATAATAATAGTTCAACTGAATCCATATTATGCAAAGAAACAAGTATACGACTCATGAAAACAACTACCTAAATTATGTCCTAAAAATTTGAAAACATAAGTTGTAGTTGATAATTACACAAAAAATTCCCTAAATTCATGAATTTGTGTCCAATTAGTTAATCCTAAAGATTGTAACTAGCATATAGTAATCGAAGCTCCACATGAAGTAATTTAAAGTTCCCTAAAGTTTATCTCATCTTTAATGAAGCATGAATTGCACGGAAGTTCATGAAATGCTTATAGACTCCAACTCTGAGTCCAATTAGTTAATCCTAAAGATTGTAACTAGCATATAGTAATTGAAGCTCCACGTGAAGTAATTTAAAGTTCCCCAAAGTTTATCTCATCTTTAATGAAGCATAAATTGCACAGAAGTTCATGAAATGCTTATAAACTCCTAATGCAATTATGTTTCATATGAGTTTGTCATAAATGAAACTAAGGTGCATTCAATACAACTTCATTTTCTTGTCATATGAGACAAAATAGAAAAATTAAATCAAACAAACTGATGAACTAAACCGAATCAATCCAACCCAAATTGATTAGTTTGTTTCTTTTGTTGGGTTGTTTGATAACCCTTTTATATTATAACAATTCAACTTTTCATGAGAGAAAAATATATTTAAGTAGAAGTTAAAAATATTGGGTGTTTAAGAAAAGGCATTTAGTTTAGTGGTATGATTCTCACTTGTGGTGCAAGAGGTTTTGATTTCAATTCTTGAAATGCCCATAATTCTTTTCTTATCGAAGGACTTTATATTCGACATTTTATACTTACCATCACGCTCTTAATACTCATAGTCTTTCTTAACATCCCATCTCAAGGCTTTATTCTCCAAGACACATTCTACCTCTTGAGGACTTCATGTGTTTATACAAACTTAATACCTAGGCCTAAGGCTTCATACATACGTTTCAAGTGGTATAACAAGGGCATTTGGTCTAGTGGTATGATTCTTGCTCGCTCTGGGTGTGAGAGGTCTCGAGTTTGATTCTCAAAATGCCCCTTCAAGAGATTGTAGTACGAATTGTGGGAATGTAGCTCAAATAGTAGAGCGCTCACTTCTAATGTGGAAAGTTATTTAATTTGTTATTATATTTTTTTCTTTTTCACAATTATCGATGCTCCGCATCACCAAAACAAACTATTATTGATGACCAAAAATTTAGGGTTTTGTGATGCAAAAATTATGGGGATGTAGCTTAGATGGTAGAGCGCTCGCTTAGCATGCGAGAGGTACGGGAATCGATACCCCGCATCTCCAAAAGAAAGAAATGATTTTTTTAAGTATGAGTTAATTTAACATGTTATGTATAAGGTGGGTACGAGAAGGTGGATACCAGAGAAAAAGAAAGATACTTATATAAGGAGAACTTCTGACCAATGAATATAATTGTCATTTATAGCTTCTATCACAATAATATAAAATTTGGGAACAAATCCTATATGAGACTAAAAAGACCGTTCACCACGTGCTTGTAAATTAAATTATATCTACCACCTTTGAAATTTTCCATGGCAAACCTTCCAACAGCTTGCACTTCTTCATCGTTGACACCCTTAATTGGAACTAGATTTTCAACAAACTTACTTTGCTCGTGAATACTTTGGAGTTCGATATTTATAGTTGTGGGGAACGCTATTCAAATTGATATGGTCGAATCTTACAACAAAGTCTAATTAAGCCTCCCTCTATTAGGAGATAGCTTCGAATCAAATTCTTTAGTTTGGACAATGGTTGCATTGTTTTAGTCAAACAACCGAGACTAGTGTATTTCCAATAGTATAAACATTTTGTACGTGTATTTTCTTACATATTAACAATTGTATACAAATAATAACTAAATTTATGAGTAAAAGTTTGGATGGAGTTTTATTAAATAGGTAATCTTAAATAATATCTAAAAATATATAAGATTTTTTTTTTTATATATACATTTACGAGAACAAATCAAAGAATACAACTATTATCTCGAACTGTAAAGAATTTAATTCCAACCTATTCTAATGGAAAAATGCTTTATTAGACTCTATTGTAAGATTTCATTTCCTCTATTTAAGTAGCGTTCAACTACAACTATAAATATCAAATTCTTAAGTATTCATGAACAAAATCGGCCTAACAATGTCTCTTGGAATAATTTACCAAAGGTGTTAGAATGAGCAGTGTGGAAGGGTTGCCTTTAGATGCTTTAGTACCAATTAAAGATGTCAATGTCCTAGTAGTGCAAAATGCAGGAAGGTTCGTAATTGAAAAGAATAACGAGAATAGTGAACATCGTGTCATCTACAAGCGTGGTGAACGGTCTAGTTAGTATGACTAGAGATAACGAGAATAGTGAACATCGTGTCATCTACAAGCGTGGTGAACGGTCTAGTTAGTATGACTAGAGAACATTGTCCTCGCAGAATTTATATTATTGTGATAGAAGTTATAAATAACGATGATATTCTTTGGTCTTTTATTACAAAGGTGCAGAATTTTCTTTTTGTGCATGTGATATATTCATCGCCACCTACTTATAAGCTCTCATCTTTTAAAGAAGTTCTCGAGTTCCTTATCCCCAAGTAGCAATACAACTACTAGAATGCTATCCCTACTTATAATAAGCCCTCTCTCTCTCTCTCGAAATATATGCATGTGTGTTTGTGGGTGTATTACTCTCTTTTATTAATGAAATATGGCATAGTCATAATGATATTATGAGTATCTTTTCTATCCCCTCCCTTCCTTATTGCTATATAAAGAAAATGAAGATTATAAGTAAAAGTGTACAAGTAATTTGTTACTTTTGAACTTAAAATGCTTATAAATCAATTTATCTTTGTTATCAACAATAATTATCAAACGGTATGTAATTTTGTCCAAGTAAGGTCTCTTCTGATTCCCTATATGATATCATAACACAAAATCGAGCGGAAGGGTTAACGATAAAATGATAACAAAAACCCATTCGTCGAACTAACTATAAAGGAAGGGTTGGTTGGAAACCATGTCTATACTTCTTTGCTTTAATCACAGGTAACAAGATATATAAGAACAATAGAATATGGCATGCCCAGTCAAAACATAAAAAATTTCTTGCCATGTTATAGTTAATGAGTATGGTATGCACAAAGATCCGACGTCACACTTCATGATTGGAGACCAATACAATTAGCTAAGGTCGTCCATACCGTCTTTGGTCGAATTATGTCAAGCAAATGTTGCAGCAAGCAAAGAGATTTAAGGCACAAATGTCTCTGATGTGAAAGGCGCACCAATTCAATGAGATTTAAGTAACCATGAATAAGACACATGATACAGCTTGTAAACGAAAAAAGTCCATGACTCTTGTTATTTTCTTCCACTACAAACCTTCTAGCCTCGTGCACTTTTTTGTCATTGACATCCTTAATTGAAATTAGAATTGAAGGAAACACTTCTCCACAACTTATTATGGAACACCTTTGATAGACAGTTTCAACAGATTTACTTTGTCGAGGAATACTTTAACATTCGATATTTATAGTTGAACGCTACTTAAATTGATGAAGTGAAATCTTACAATAGAGGTTAATAAATCATTTGTCTATTAGAAGGGAGCTTGGAATTAAATTCTTTATAGTTGAGATAAGGGATATTTTAGTCCAACCAAGTATACTTTTTAGTTTTAAAATTAATCAATTTTTTAAGTTTAAAATAAATTGATTTTTTAGTTTTAATTTTATTCCAAATAAATTAATTTTGATGTGGTGTTATGTATTTTAATAAAATTAACATTAACTTAATCAACAAAAATTTGTATTTTTTTTTTAAATTATAAGCTAAATTAATAAAAATACCATTGAAATTTGCACTTTATCTAAAAAAAATTACTCATAATTTTTTTTTTTAAAAAAATACTGTTGAATTTTCAAAAAAAAAAAAGCTTCAAAACTACTCTTTAACTTTCAAAAGTGTTTAAAAAAAGATAGATGATGAGAAAATTGTGTTCATGGGGAGAAAATTGAAGGTTATTTTAGGGGAAGGTTTTCAAGATCAGTATAAGATCCTAAAAACATAACAAGAAGTAATATCCTAGCTTAAGGTCGCCATTAAGAACCTACTAGTAGGCTACTTACTAAGTTTTACTCACTCCATGTTTATCATTTTTTTTCAAGTAATTAAGAGTTGGTCGTGGATGAGAGCGGACTTTGGAGTGTGGGCCATAGACTAACCTCTGTTTTTAATCTAGTATTTTTTGTTCTTCTTTTGAGTATACTTCTTATTTTGTGTTTGTAATGAGTATGTATATGTAACACCCCGAAAATGAAGGAAATTAGCTCCCATAAGAATAAGCCACTCATGAAAGACCCAAAGGATAGAAAGGAAAAAAATTAAAGTATTAAGCAAGAACAAGGGACTTAGTCAAGTCACTCTATGCCTAACAAGTGATTTCAAAGAGTTGCCTTTTGAAAAGGATTGGAAAGGAAAAAGTAAATGAAGAGGGCAAAAAAAAAGTCATTTTATCAATTATCAAGAATCTTTCCGGATTTGTAATTTCTTATCTAGAAGGAATCTCAAGATTCAAAATAAGGGAAAAATGATAAAAAAGCAATTAGGAATTTGTAGAAAAATTATGATTGTTCGAGAAAAATAATTATAAAATATTCGAAAAGTGAAATATTACCAAAATACCCCTGGAAGAATGGATAGTTACAGAAATGGCACTCTAATTAGAATCAGAGCATCTACCGTGACCATCCGAGTAAAATCCTTCGAACTCAAATCTCAACCGTCGGATCTCCTCCAAAATTTGATATGATCTAGAACGAACACGCACGGATCATCACATCCAACGACTAGTATTCAAAGCCAAGGTCGGTAAGGCTATGATCGGAGTTGATATCTCCGAAAAATTATCCAAAAAGTTCGATCTCTAAATAATGAAGATTCTGGAGCTCTCAATGTCGGTTTAAGCATCTCCTATAAAGTCTGAAATAGGAGCAACAATACGGAATAAGAATCGAGAAAGGTCGATCCCCCAATCGAAGGCAATGAGCGTTTAGATTATGGGTCTCCTACTCTCAGATTTCTTCCAAATTCGAGAGCAATCCTCCACCATTTCTCTTCAATCTTATTCCTACAGTTTCTCAACAAGATTACCCACAAGTTCTATGAAGGAATAGAGTGCTGAAAGTGCCTAGAAACCATTCCCCCAATTCAATCCTCCATTGAAGAACATCAAGAAAAACTTTAAAATCCAATCCGAGGATACATGATGACTCGTCGAGCAAAAGTGATTCCAATCAGTTTCTGCACCTCCAAGGAATGCTTCCATAGAAGACCACGAAGAAAAATAACCTCGAGAGCGTGCCGAATTGAAGGAAATAGGTTTCAAAATTAAATTGGGGATAAGAGTCGAATTCCTATCTACGATCTCTTTTCCTTCAAATTAAGGATTCCTCTAGTTTCAGAGGAAGAAGTTTAGTAAACTTGATGGAGGAATCAAGAGCTGAAACGTCGTAGAACAATTTACCCACGAGATCGAAATCTGGCGTTTCGAGTGAGTAGCATACCGAGAACGATTTCTAGAAGTTAAGGTCCTACACTCAAAGACGTTCCTACAAAACCAATTCCTTTTGCTTGAAGATAAGATATGGAAGAGGTTGAATGAAGAAATAGGGCCTTGAAACCCCTAGAATCGGCTACCCAATAAGAAATCCTTTGTTTTATCTCCAACGATAAATCAGATTTTGGATGAACTTTGGAAGCGAATATCTTAGGCTACAATCCACGAGAAGGTATCAAATAAATCCCTAGCCCTTTCTTGTAACATCCATCTTTAAGTTTCACGAAGAAATCAAGGAGAGAAACGCTGTAAATGTGGCTGTACAAGCCGAGTTTCAGATGGCGGCGATGCAAAAAATGCCCATCTTCTTCCTGTTTAGAGGAAGAAAACGATGATACGGCCAGTTCAACTGAACTGTCCAAGTCAACTCAAAATTTGACATTTTCTCGAATTTTCTCAATTTTATCCCCATTCCAGACCGATTCTCGTAAAAAACATTATGGTTCCATAAACTAGACACAATAAGGAGTATGTGGAAGGAAATTTGAAGTAATTCAAATACTCGAAGCTCAAGAATGGAGGTCCCAAACGTCGACGACGAGACAAGTAACCCCCTTGGACTTTTTGTTAAGAAATACTTGTAGAAATCGCTTGGATTTTCATATGAACCCTAAACCAAGTATGAATTAAGGATATATGAAAGAAAAATCCAAAGAACTGTGAGTTAAGA